TATATATATATATATAATAATATATATATATATATATATATATATATATATATATTCATATGTATATGTATATATATATATATACAAGTAGTGTATGAAGGGTTCTTCTTCATATATAACATAAACCGATACACAACTTATGAGAGGTTCTGCACTATATTTCGTAGTCTAATATATAGCTGATGACAGGTTCGCACTATATATTCATCATAGGCTAATATGTAGTTTATGAGGGCGTTTGCATCATATATTACAGTCATATATGCAATTTACGAGCCAATCTGCATTATATGTAACAGAAAAATTGATTGTTTACGAGTGGTTCAGCATTATACACAACATAGCATAATATACAAAGTTATATACAACAGCATAATATATAACATTATATACAACAGTATAATATACAACGTCATATACAACATAGCATAATATACAACGTTATATACAACAGCATAATATACAAAGTTATATACAACATACCATAATATACAACGTTATATACAACAGCATACTATACAAAGTTATATACAATATAGCATAATATACAACGTTATATACAACAGCGTAATATACAAAGTTATATACAACATAGCATAATATATAACGTTATATACAACAGCATAATATACAACGTTATATACAACAGTATAATATACAACGGTATATACAACATGGCATAATATGCAGCATTATATACAACATAGTATAATATATTGTTTATGAGAGGTTATATAGTATATACAACATAGCATACTATATAACGTTATATACAACATAGTATACTATACAACGATATATGCAACATAGCACAATATATAACGTTATGTACAACACAGTATAATATATAACGTTATGTACAACATAGCATAATATATATTTTAATAGAGGTTATGCAGTATATACAACACAGCATAACAACGTTATATACAACATAGCGTAATATACAACATAGAATAATAGCGTAATATACAACGTATAATATACAACATAGAATAATATATAGCTATGAGAGATTATGCAGTATATACAACACAAGTATAATATATAACTTACGAGGTTCTGCATTATTAAAACTAAGCATAATATATAGCGCATGATACATTCTGCATGATATACTACATGCTCTAATATATAGTTTACGATCATTATAGATGACATAGCCGACTATATTTCTTAGCAGAAGTTCTGTATTATGTATATAAACATAGTCTGACATACAGCTTAGGTTTGACAATATATATAACACAATATAGTTTATGAAAGGTTCTTTAACATATACATCAGCCAAATATGTAGTTTATAAGAGGCTTTGTACTATATATAACGTGTATTATTTTGTAAATTATAGACTTGTTGTACACTTAGGGTCTACATTTTGTACAACATATCAGAATATATAGTTTATAAAGTTCTGCATTATATACAACAAAGCCTACTATATACCGCAGTCATATAATACAAAGTCTATTATTCATATGTATAATGAGAACTTTCGCATTGTATCCAACGTCGACTAATATATTATATACAAAATACATACCTATTAGGCTATTAATGCGAGGTTCAATGTAAAGAAGTCATAAGTGCATAATATTTACAAATAAAACCCTTTGTAAATTCGAGTCCCAATCGGAAGTCAATATTTAGACTGCGAGTAAAAATCACCGAGTACCAAAAGACTCCAAGAGTAACAAGTAAATCCAAAAAAAATTCATACTAAAAATAAAATATGTAATTACGTAGTAGACTTACTAGACTAGAGTAGTATGACTGTCTGTAGTAAATACCAGAACTCAGGGAACTGAGAACTCGGACGTCCTGCTACAATGTGATATGTACGTTCATGAGTACATTTTACCCGCGCGTAAACAAAATAAAAAATATGTACGACGATAATGTTTGTACATACATATGTACTTTTTTAATTACACATATATACGCATGTGGTTCGATTTATCACTACAGTTACTAGAGAGTTAGGAGGTGTGCAACAACATGACAATGACAAATGCGAGGCGTGTAAGTGTCAAGGTATGGGCGCCCATCGCCATACTGTTCATAATCATAGCTACCAGCAAAATAACAACTGCCGTGAACGCTAGGTGGTACACATCTTGCGTAGACAATATAGAAATCATCACAGATCACAGTGCGGAGAACACGTCTAAACCTCCTGAGGATAATGTAGGAACAAGTACCGCTGCTACAGCACCTGTTATAAGTGTTTCGGTCTCTGAATCTACGAAACAACAAACTGCCCAGAGTGACGGGTTGGAGATGTCCAAACCAAACGGGTGCGTGTTTGACAAGTGCGAGCACGACGCATTTATATACATGCTTGTACCATTCCGGAATAGGGGACAGAATCTGAAGCGATTAGCATTTACCTTAACTACTGATGCAGTACAGGCCAGATGGTCTTCATTAGACTGCATATGTCTCGCGGTCGGTAACTATGACGACGAGGTCACAGGTATGAGTGCATCGGAGGCGTTGCTTGAGTGGAAAGGCTCGCAGAACATTGTATCTTTATCTGGTAATTTCTCACGTGCGGGATCGTTACAAAGCCTTCTCACAGACGAGAACAAGCTAATCACCACAGCAGAAGATGAGAGTTTGCTGTTCATAGTGGATACGGACATGGCCATGTTTCCAGGCTTCCTAGACGATTTGGTCACGAGCACTAAACCCAGGTTAGGATATGTGCCCATTTGTTACAGTGTGAATGACAGTAAGAACTGGAGAGAGGGTGTGTGGCGTGATGGTGGTGCTGGTATGTTCGCTGCGTATGCGAGTGATCTAAGGCGAGTGCTGAACAACAAGTTCCCGGGCGCCAACAAGCTGACTCACGGGGAGGAAGACTGGATGATCCAGCACGAACTGAGGCACAATAGTGTGGATTACCTCAACACTACCAGGCACTGCAGTCCTGGGTTGTGGCACCTACCACACCCGCATGTATCTGACTGGACTGCGACTGTGGATGGTATGTCGGCGGGTCCTACAGTCGAAGGCAATGGCCCGTACTCAGATGAAGCCGTGGCTAAGTTAGTGGCTCAGATATACGTGGAGAAGGTCTTTTTCAACCTGCCCTTGAGTGCGCCATGCAGGAGACTGGCCAGTCAGGGGACCAACTGGTTGGGAAAGTATGTACAGCCTAGGAAAAACCATAACCGGAGAAGTAGGAGGTAGCAAACCACAGGTAGCTTTTCATACGACAGTATATATAAATTGGTCTATATCAGATCCTCTATTTAAATTACGATTGTGCAGCGGGTGCTATAAGTGACATGTCAATAGGGGAGATTCACCCTTAAAACACAATTTGACCTCCGCTTCGCACTGGTTCTAGATCAGCTGATGATGGTTTCGCTGTTTCAAAAGTAAACAGATTTCTCAACCAACTATCAAGCACTTACTGCTCAGTAGCTTTTCCTTCGCGCACAGTTGCCACTGACTTGAGGACAGTTGTTTTGATGGAAAATACAAATGTGAGAACTAAATTATACATCCATATTGACAAGCACATAATTATATAAAACACACAAACACACACACACAAACACATATATATATATATATATCTATATCTATATCTATATCTATATCTATATCTAT